AAGATATTCAGGGTAAAATACTTAAGGAATAAGCAGATGGGACTTCAAAATATAACTTCAACATATCCATGGTATTTGAGATATATCCGTGTTCAAAAAACAGAAGGTCAGCTGTACTTCTATGCCCTATATTAATCAGAGATGCATGAAGGATGCTTCTACTATGTTTCATTATACCAGTCAAGATTTCAGATGCTGCAAATTCAGCTAAAAGGAGCATTTCCAAGTAACTATAAGCCCTATATTGACCAGACTTGCATGGATTATACATATAAGGATGCACACTACCGGACTTGCTTCAATTGCTGGATCTGACCTACATTTTCCAGATGAGTGACCAGATTAAAGTTTTTTAAGCAGGTTTCATTTCCAAGTAACTATAAGTCCTAGGTTGAACAAACTTGTACAAATGATACATCTTAGGATGCACACTATACTTGACTTCCTTCAGATGCTGAATATGACCTACATTTTCCTTCCGGATGAGTGACCAGGATAAAGTTTTTGGAGCAGATTTCATTTCATAGTAACTATAAGCCCAGTGTTAACCAAACTTGCATGGATGATACATCTAATGATGCACACTACTGGACTTGCTTCAGATGCTGGATCTGACCTACATTTTCCAGATAAGTGACCAGGTTTAAAGATTTTTAACGGGTCCATTACCAAGAAATTATAAGGGCAATCTGGACCAAACTTGCATGATGATGCATTATGGGATAAACACTCTCAAACTTGCTTCAGATGGTGGATTTGACTTACTTTTTCTGGATGAGTGACCAGTTTAAATTTTTTAGGTAAGTCCAGTCCCAAGTAACTGCAAGCCCTATTAGACTAAAATTGCATAAATGTTACATGTACAGTACCGACCAGACACAACCTAACACCCGAGCGAACCCAAAGCGCACCCCGGGTTAGCTTTCTGGGTTCGCTTGGGGTCCGCTACGGGTCCGCTTTCAGAAATTTTGGGTGCGCTTTGGGTTCGCTCTGTGTTCGCTCGTTGTCAGCTCTGGGTCCGCTAGAGCGAACCCGGCGTTCACTTTCTGGGTTCGCTTTGCGCACTCATGCGTGAAGCGGACCCCGCTTTAATTTTGCCGCCAGTAAGCTCCGCCCCTTGTTTATTCCAAATACAGTAGTGAAATTGATCATTGTTGTTTTTGTGGCGATCGATACATGTGCATGTACAGTGGCTGCAACATTATTGTTGACAACAAAAAAGAACGATCACGTTACACGAACAATTCCGAACGATTAACGCACGATTAAACCTGTTACACGAACGATCCTTCACGCACACGATTTTTCACATTAAACGATCATTCACGATTGTTAATGCTAATGCATGCTTTTTTGAACAAAATAGATAAATATATTTAGGAGTGGATATTTTTTCTTTTAAAAAAAGCTTAATTAATAAATATTTTAGATTAGAAATAGTTACTGCAGCAATTCATCGACTTCGGAAAACTAAAAAAAAAAAAAAAAAAAAAAAAAAAAAAAATATTTTTGAGACAACATGTAAATAAAACTTGTAGGTGTTTTGAATTACAAATAATCATTTATTTAATTCTCCGACATATATAGAATATTTTTTTTTTATCTTTTTGATACATGTAATTAATTTATGATCGAATGCGGCATGTTCTATCACATGATATAGGTTGGCAGTGAGTTTTGATTCAATCGGATTTTATGATATGCAGTATGGGGGTAAAAGATTTTTAAAAGTGGTCTAAAAAATGAAAGAAAAACTACATCCATCTTTCTATTTATGAATTTCAAAAATCAGCCTTTTTTAAAATTCATTCATCTGCAGAAATAATAATAAGTATCAGGGATAAAAAAGTAACCCCGACAATCGTGTCGTGTGCATTTGCCGACTAAATATTTCAGTAAGTATACAGAATTATTAATTTGTTTGTAAAAATATACATTTTTTATGTATTGATATTAAAATATCATGACCATAATTAGCAGTTAACGGGGCCTATCATCAGAGAAAAAAAATAGTTAAACATCTTAAATACGCTTTATCATTAAAAGTTACGCTATTTTAAAAAGAATACAATACTGTACGACTTATTATATAGCTTATTTACTTCTCATAATTAGTTCGTTCAATAATGTACATGTAAATCGCACTTCGTTATTTTTACTTCAGTTAGAAAACCAACAAACTAAATCAAGCTTTACATTATTTTTTTGTGAAAGAGAAATCAAAATAATACTATAGTCGTTTACTATTGTGCATACTGTAAATGTGCATTTATGCTGTTCTTATTTTTTTTTTCAATGAAGAAGATCAATAATTCTGATGTTGATCTGGATTTAAATAAAAAAAATGTAAATCAGAATTATAAAAATAAAATAATTGATTGAAAGCACGTACATATACACAATCTTGTACAGTATCTTGAGATGATGAAATGCTATAATTTATCAAAACCCATTTTTTTTAGTAACAATTGTGATAACCATTATTTTCTTTTATACATTAAAGAACGTTTTGTCTGGTAAATTTACGCAATGTAAATTAATGGATTTTAAAAAATAAAAAATAAAGAAAATAATTGTGTAAATATAACATGCTACCTGGATAATTAAAATATAAATATGATTTTTTTTAAATCATGTTAATAATAATTTCACACTGTACATTAATACGTTTTGCTGGTACAATGTTTTATTTACATCGAATGACAAACTGACATGCTGATCGGTCGATGCGCTGATTGGTTAACACGTCTTACCGCTAATCCTGATTGACAGCTCTGTTATGCAACACCGAACGCGCGTTCGCTTTCTGGGTTCGCTACTGAATTTGGGGTTCGCTTTCGGCGTTCGCTCTGGGTCCGCTGCGGGTTCGCTCTGGGTGCGCTCCGGGTTCGCTCTGGGTCAGCTATAGCGAACCCAGAGAGCGAACCCGGGGTGCGCTTTGGGTTCGCTTTCTGTTAGGTTGTGTCTGGTCGGTACTGTAGGGATGCAGACTACTAGATTATTAGTTTAGTGTGGGACTTTGCCTTACTTAAAGACAACATTCGTTGAGGTGAGCTCTGTTATCTCTTATTACCTATGATTATCAAGTATTTGTGGTGCACGTACAATTTTTTCTTGATTTAGCCACATGCACTGCTAGTGTGTGTGTGATATTTACATATAGACCATAACGGAGTAAATTTTTAAAATTCAATAAACGATAATTTAAGAGTATCATCAGTATGCACACTTCCTGTATATAGCTGCAGAGCCCAGTCCGATGTTGCGTTTTATTTATTACACATTATTATGCTTCCTGTCAGTTTGTCTCTATATAATCAATACCCAACTATTTTCACATAGTGTTCTAAGGAATTATATATCGTAAACATACTATGCCGAAATAGCTAGTGCATGGCTTCTTTTTCCGAAAAAAATCCAACAGCTCCCATGCCATGGATCGAACTCACGACCCCGACATCATCAGTCTGACTCGCTACCGATTACACCACAGACGACATTGTCTAAAGCACTGTATTATAATATATATAAACTTAGTTTCAAATATTTTACACTTAAAGAAAAAAAAATAAACAAATTAATTTTCTAAAATAGTTTCTTGCAATTTTTTCCCCTTCACTCAACTAAAATTCTCTGAAACTACATGTATCTGTACATGGATCATTCAAAATTAAAGAAAAAAGATGATGTACATGTAGCACAATGTGACGTCATGATAGGGGTGTACTAACATGAATGTAAGAAGTGATGAAACATTGGAAATGGAGAAGATGTTGTCGTTTTTATACAGCAGTCAGCATAATAATAACAATAGTGTTGTACTTTGCATGCACTATGTCTAAATACTAATAGTAGTCAGGGTTTGACACATAGTGCACTCGCCTCCGGCTCGTGCACCATGTGTCAAACCCTGACTACTATTTAGGCATAGTGCATGCAAATTACAACACTATTATATAATCATGTCATAATTTTATTTTCATCAAATAACAGTAACAGTAGTTTTCCACTTTTTGTACTGTCTTTCAAATTGTACTCTCCTTTGAAAAATCATATATACCAATTTCAAATCAATGACCTAAATATATTCTAATAATTTTTAGATGTTTGTCAATGAATAATTAGTTTGTCTCTGACATCGTTTCAACCATATTTTAGATAATACATAATTTTATGATTGGACGCTGTTCCATACGGATGGCCGACATCGCTTTTTCTGTCAATTTTTGAAACATATTTGTTGCAGTTTTTTCTTAAGGTCAAGAATTAGTAAATGAAAGGAGCCTACAATTTCTTTAATTTGAGAAATAGATTCCTTTAATGACTATAACTTGGTCAAATAAGGTGTATTGGGGCATAACTTTTAGGTAAACAAGATTAAAAAAAATCATATTTTAAGCTGTTATTTTCAGTGAAAAATTAAGAAAACCTGTCATGAATATGGGAGTTTTTTTCCATGTCAGACAAAGGAAATGTATCCAGATTGCCTAGTATACTGTCTCTAAGAAAACTGTAATTTGTATGTTCTTAGCCTTTGAGGTAAAAAGTTTAATTTAGCTGAACTCAGACAATTAGTCACCAAAATATTTGTCTATTGATGACAGGAAAGTTCTTGAATTTCTCTGCCATTGACATTAGGTGTGTAACAGGAAAATGCTGCATAAGCAAGAACAGGATTTGAACCCAGCCCTCTGTATCACTAATCAGGTGCTTTAGCATGTTTATTAACTGAGTGATCTGGCGATGGGGATCAAGCCTGTCTGATCGCCATATTCCTCCCTCCTTAAATTGTATTTGCCCTTGAAGACACAACTCAAGTTCTTTTTACCCCTGGCAAGCCTTTTACCTGCAAGTCGAGGGGTGATCAATGGCACCAAATAAATATGGGATAGACCAAACCAGGATTTGAACGTAGGTCCCCTGAATCACTAGTGTAAGTTTCTTTTTAAAAGGAATAACATTTTAATACTCATAGTAAATTAGAATTTCATTTTTTTCAGGAAATGGATAAAAAATTGGTATGTGTCGAGCAACTATAGCCACCTGATAGAAGGGTAAATTAGAAAGTTCAGATTACATTATGCCAACAGAGATGATAACAATGCCAACCAAGCTAAAAGTTGTCCAGGTTAGAATTATTTTTTTCAATAAATTACAATGAATGTACATTTAATATTTTCATATCAACTTACATGTATGAAGGTTGTTATTTTTTTATATACCTGTTGTGTAGGAAAACTTTTGTATTGGAGACAAGACAAGTTAATGACTTAATGATAGACTCACTGCAGAGAGAGATGTTGGAAAAGTGGATTTTGTTAACAAAAGGGAGATAAGGTAAAATATGAGAGGAGTTGTGAGTTTTGTATGACAGAGTACTATTTGTTAACCAAAAAATTAATCTGAAAAATCTTGAGAAATTTAACTAAAGAAAACTTCATGAAAAGGAGCACATGCACATAAGGGGAGGCAACCTATTGAAAATTATCTTGCAGCTGTTCTCGGGTCAAAAAGTGATTTAGGATTAATAACTTGTATGCATATACTAGGGGTGGGACGATATACCGATACATACCGATATTTCCTGCTAAGATACGGTTTACGATACATGCATTAAAATATCGGTACGAAACGATACACGAACGACCTATCAAAAAATTGAAAATGAAAGTAGTTGTCCTTGAAAAATGGCGGCTTGTACGAAGCGAAGAGGTGATATTGATGTTGACAACACGCTTTAGAACTAATAAGTCGTAGATAAGGGGTAAAACATTTTCACTTTTAAGCATCCTCGGAAGATGGGACAAGAAAAGTTCCGTATATAAAGCCGCTAAAGCGTGTGATATACAAAAAGTATCGTTTCCACAACAATTGATATCATTAATTGTTAGTCCATCTGGCACTAACAGCTCATAACAAACCATGGATTCTCTAATTTTAAAAATTTGAAATATTAAAACAAATTGTGGATTAATTTTTCTTTTGTAAAACTCAACTTGGTTACAGACATTCAGCAATTAATAGTAATGTACATGTGATTTTTTTAGAATGAATTTTTAGTCAGTGTTCTTGATGAACTACACAACTATTTATAAACAACTTGTTGATAGACATCTGGCAATACTTACAAGCAATATTGTTTTTGTAAATATTAAGTCAATAAAAATTCATGAACTTCAAGTATTAATTTCAAATCACATATGATTTGATGTAGAATAATTTGTTGATTTATTGTCAACATGGTCAAGAAAATATGAAAACAAATACTAAGTTTTTTTAATAGTTTTATAATTTATCATAATATCGAGATACGTATCGCATCGTGTCATATGTATCGAGATACGTATCGTATTGCAAGATCTGTGTATCGTCCCACCCGTAGCATATACATGTATATAAGGAAAATCTACATAAGAGAAGAAAAGGGGGTGCATCTAGATAAACAATTTTATTTCTCTATGTTAAATAGCTGACATTGACTGTGTTCTTGATTTAAAAAAATACGTACATATGTTGGGGTAACTTCAACTGAATGTTAACATCTACTTTAGTTCATCGAAACTTGTGGACAGGATCATATGATCCTGCATGTACTATTTAAGCCTTTTTTTTTTCTTTTTTTTTTTTTAACTTAGATGCTTAATTCAGCTTTGACAACTGAGTGTGTTGAACATCATTATCAAAGATTCCATTCATTTAAGATTTTATGTTGGTTAAGAAATGTGTCATTTAGGGAGATTTGTTTTTTATACATGTGCGTAAGTTATTTTGTAATTATTTTATAGCAAAGTAAATTTTTCAATTATGATTGTTCTAAGTTTTAGAGATTAATAGAGATTTTTCTTTTCTTTTTTTTTTTTTTACAGATCAAGGCTGCCAACCTTTGAGAGATACACTTCAAAAAGAGTGTTTAAATTCAAGACATTCAGTCACAGTACTCTGTAAATATTATAAAGTAAAAGTTATTTATTTAATTTGGAAAAGCATTTGAGGAAAAGAGGATGTGAAAAAGACTTTGTCCATTTCAAACTATCTGTTGTCAAGTACCAGGAATATGTGGATTTTATTCAACAACTTTATTATGAATTTGAATAGCAACTTTCAATATCTGGAAGCTTTTTTATCAGTAGGGATGTGGATGTGAAATTGCTAGTATATAAAAATTATTTTTTAAAAGATATTAATCAAGAAAATTTTTGTAGATTAATAACAGGTAAAATTTGTAATGAGAGATCTTTTATTGATCATTTGCAGTAGTAAGCGACAGTTGTTATAATTATACCCCACTCTGAAGTAGAGGGGGTATACTCATTTACCCTTGTGTGTCTCTCTGTGTGTCTGTCTGTAACAATTTTTCGTCGCAGTTTTCTCAGCAACTACTCATCAAAGATGCTTGAAATTTTGACACTCTCTTTGACTAGGCATGCCATATTGTGGGATTCATGAGAGTGTATATTCACATCAGAGCGAGGGTATTACTAGTGAGCATTGGCTCACAGACTTCCTGTTTGCTGAAGTTTGTGTTTGACTTTCATGTCTTTAACATGATATGGCTTAAGGATATGCGCAGTATAGTTTGAAATATATTTTCTTATTCTCTCTATAATTTAAGAAATCCAGTAATTGAAAGATCTTTGTGCAATTTTATGAAACCTGGTAATGCTTGCACACCTTATCTGAATCAAATTTTGAGAAAATACCACATAAAACATTTTTGGGGGGGCAGGGGGATTTTTCTTTTAAAAAATGCAAGGGTTTTCATCATTTGATATTTTTTCAAAACTCCTGATACATGTAATGTATGCTGATTTTTTTGTCAAAGAACACCTAATGGTATCATGATTTTCAATTATATTTTCTCTGAAAATTATCAGTTGGAAGGTTCACTGTAAAGTGCATGTACATTGCATATGACCTTAAAAATACTGTGGTGGCAAAAGACAAGAATTTTTTTTTTTTTTCAGTTTTGGTACATGTACTATATTATTATTTCGTTAACCTGTCAATTTTAGATCAAATGAATAAAGGTTAAAAACTATTATTTGACTCTTTGTTTTTGTGAGTTATCTAGAGCAGGCTCGTAGCAACAGTTTCAAAAGAAAAAAAAACCAAACTGACCAAAAGTGGGGGGGGGGGACTTCCCGAAATTATCTGACAAGCAAAAAAGAAAAGGTGATTTACTGTCCAAATCCTGGAATTTGCCAGTGCTGGACCTTACAACATCAAAAAGTGGGGGGGGGGGGGGGGATCCAGCATCTAAAGGGAAACTTACTATAGCAAAATACTATAACCCCCACCCCCTGCATTCTACGGGCCTGCTAGAGACATCTAATAGTCTATTTTAATCAACGTGAATGCAAATTTCAAATGGTTTATCAACTAATATAGATAGATGTATGTTGGAAAGGACCAAGAGAATTTTGTAATTATGTACATGTACATTATACAGCTGACCATATGGTCTGAAGTTGACATTAAAAATTGCAAAGTTGTAGAGTAAAATCAAGATTTGTGCCCCAAATTTTGTGATGACAGTGGCATTTTTCTTTTTAAAAAAAAATTATGAGTTTAAGTGAGCTTTAATGATTTTTATCTCACATGAGCTGAAAGCTCAAGTGAGCTTTTATGATCACCTGTTGTCCAGTGTCTGCCCACCTGACTATCCACTTGTCTGTAAACTTTTCACATTCGACTTCTCAGGAACCGCTAGGCCATTTTTAACCAAAGTAGCTACAAAGCATCCCTGGGTAAAGGGAATTTTAAATTTTTAAAACGAAGAGCCAAGCCTTATACCTCCAAAGAGGAATAATCAAGAAAAGGCAGAAACAGGGTAAATAATCTCAAGAACCACAGGACCAGAAAAGCTGAAACTTACGTGAAAGCTTGCTAAGGTAGTGTAGATTTCAAGTTGTTTAAATCATTTCCCTGGGGTAGGATAAGGCTACAATAGGGGGTCAAAGTTTTACATTGATATATACATTTATATATATATATATATAAAATCTTCTCCAGAATCACTGCATCAGGAAAGATAAAATTTAGCAAACTTTACTTAATTAAGAATACATCTATATGGGGGAAACAGCAGGGCCAAAGTGACTCAAGGTGAGCGTTGTGGCCCAAGGGCCTCACATTTGTAAAATTCATGATGACCGTTACAGACATTGGACAGAGGATGTTGGGTCTGTCTGTTGAACTTTTTTTTTTTTACCTTGTATGATATGTGGATTATTCTTTCCTCAAAACATCATATTCCATATTACTTCAAAGGTAGAAAAAAAAATTATAGAAGTTACTTGAATTAATCATTGCACATTCATATTATACAGGAAATGATGTTTGGCTATGTTTTATTAGAGATGTTTCTGAATATGAAACGAATCTCAGTCGGAGGGATATCGATCCCGATTAGACAATGAACACGTGTGATAACAGATTTTTTTTCCTTTATATATCAATCTGTAACTTGTATAAAAGGTTTAATGTGTTTGTGACAACCCCCCCCCCCCAAAAAAAAAAAAAAACCAACGAAACCAAAAAAAAAAAACAAAAAAAAACAGCACCATAAAATCCTGAGAGTAATAAGTCCATGATTTAAATCGTATATGGATGTTATATTTGTACATTACCTGTAGCAATGTGGAAAATAAGAGTTAATGAAGTAAGCTAGATTTATTTCTTCTTGGGGGCTAGGGAATGTGTTTGAAATGTCAAGGGTGAACCAGGAATTTTATTTAGGGCGGGGAGGGGGACATACCAAGAGATAAATAATCGCCCTTTTTCTCCGACTCGGAAAATTTTTTGACAAAAAAAAAAATCCAAACTCTCTACGGACGTGAAAAATCTGTGTGTGGGGGCTTGTCATGCTTGTGTAACTCTCCTCGACCAGCTTACGAGGGGTCCGTCTGTGTTCCCAAAGGAGGGGGTGGGTGGGTTGGGGAGGGGGCTGGCAAGTTCATCTTTGCTAACTATATTACATACTTGTAATTTAATAACTGAAAAATAGGGGGAGGGCTGAACTACTTTGACACCTCCCACCGCTTGATCGCTACCGAACGTTCTCTCAGTTCAAGTCGTCGAAAAATAATTGCATAATATCAGGCCCGTAAGAACTGGGTGGAGACATGGAGACCAGCCCCCCCCCCCCTTCCTTGTTATTTTACCGTTATATACTACACAATATAATTAGATCAAATATATCAAAATTACGGTTATGCCCCTCGTAAATAAAGTTTGTAGACTTGATTTTTGTTCAGTTGCGCCCCATTTCCGTACTGTAACTGCATCATACATGTATAGATCAGCCATGTTACATACATGTACTACATGTAGTAATAAGTGTCTTTTTAATCCATGTGAAAGCTATCAGTTTTGTATTATTTTTTTTTGTTCAACTCACTAAATATTCGTTCCTTGGGAGAACTGTGTTCTTTGAGATTTTAACAAGCTACATTATTTGCCAATCAAGGATATTCAGTGATTTAAACTAAAAACTTGTAGACATCATGGAAAATCGCCTGCGAGAAAGTGGCCAAGGGGTTGCTGAAAAAGTTATTTATCCGACATAATTTTCAAATACATATAAATATATAAAATGACTCGTATGTACACATTTACACAAATTATTTTTTTTTTAAATAGAGTCCAGAATACGATTCTTGCAAGAAACAAATAATGTAAGTAGGTGAATAATATAACAACCATACCTTTACGAGCAAGATTTTCCTTGAGTTGAAAGGGTACATGTTCTGTTTTTCAGTCTATAGAATTTGACTTCTCCGTTACATAACACCGCCATCCCAATGACAAAAATATAAAAGCAACAATGTATCCACTATTTTTTAATGACATATTAACATTGACAATGAATTGCGGCATTAGAGACCGAATGTTAAATAAAATGTACACAAAAAATTAAACTTATTAATTACTTGTATGGCAATTTGTTTGTAAAATGAATATAATCAAAATTATTAATTTATGTGAAAAACACACACTCAAAAAATGAAAGTGAACTCGTGTCATTTAAAAAAAACAACATGCCAAAGAGCTGACGTGATTCCACTACAAAACAGGGACACGCCCTTTCCATGATAATGAACACTTGGAGTTCTATCTGATGATAATTCACATTTGTTTGATTTTGAAGAGTTGAGAAGTAGAAGGCAACCGGAAACAGAAACGTCTTCTTATTACATGAATTTTACTCACGTCCAATTTTATCAGCCACATGATTTTCCACAAAAAGAAAAAGCTTTCACTTAGTTCAAATTAAATAAACCCCCTTCACATGCGTATATTTACGGACAGGGAGCAAATTTTACATACATGCAAAATTTGCACCTTGATGTATTTTAGCGAATGCAAACGGGGGGGGGGGGGTTAAGCAAGTTTTGTACGCGAGTATTTTTACTCCTAGTGCAACATTTACATCTAGTCAGACTAGGTTCAAATAAACTTTTACATACGAGTAAATTTACTCCTGGTGTAGAAATATTGCATATTATCTAAAAAATACAGCATCAATTGATTTCATTGAAAAAAACTAGAAAGTCCTAACAAGTATATTTACTAAGTACTTCGAAAAAGCAAACTTCATGATCATACTGATGTATTTACAAATGTCTCTGTCCGTGATAAAACTACAAAAATTGAAAAACAGTTTGAGAGTGCACGTGCACCCATCGCAAAAATAAGAGTAAATTCTCCATCCATACATGAAAAGTTTACGCCCATAAGTAAACTAGCGCATGTGAAACTACTATTTGCAACTGTTAAATAATTGTGTACCTCTAAAAATACCCATTATTATATATTATACATTTCAAAATTATAAAGACCAATAGCGCTTTTGAATAAGATTCAGCAGGAAAATGAAAAAAAAAATCATTGATGCGAACACGTACTGTTGAATTGGGTTCTTTGGATATAGGAAAGGGAAATTTTTTTCCAGATATTGTGTGTTGTTTTACTAAAATTTACCTTGAATTTGTTACAAAATTTTATTTACACACGTTTTTCTATACATTTGCTATCTCCAGGTCATCGCTCCACGATTTTAAAAAGTTATTTGTGTGTATCAAACTAATGACATTAAAATTTTAGATCCCTAAAAGCCTTTTCTCGACATATTCAGCCATATTTTGATTTTAAAAACTAGAAATAAAATTGCAGTTTTGCTAAAAATTTTATTTGAAACATTTTTGCGTATCGGACAATTCCCTGGTGTTTGGAAACATACTCATGTGATTTCTGTCTTTAAAACAAATTCATCAAGTTAATTACATCCCGGTATCCTTATTATGCTGCATAGGAAAAATCTTTGAAAGAATATAATGTTCAAATACTTTGTAAATTGTTATACAAACTACATTATGGCAGGTGCGTAGCCAAATAAAAATGAAGTATACGAAGAGGACGACGGGGGTGGGGTGGGGGTTAATTTCCAGTTTTCACAAAAAACTGTATTAAAAATGTTATCAAATTAGCATGGTTTAACTATGCCAAAACAAAAAGTGGATGGGGGCAACCACCCTTTCAGTGAACATTTTCAATAGTCAAAAGTTAGGTTTGGAAAAGAATAGGCAGGGAACCCTCCCCCCCCCCCCCCAGATACTACATGCCTGCTGGTGAGGGCCCAGAAGTTTCTGAGTTTTACCAAATACATGTATATCATTCATTTTCTTGCAAAATAAAAATTATGTCATTTATCTTTTGTTTAGAAATAGAAGACATAATATTTATTGTTTTAACGCAAAGTTAATACTTCTACGGAAACTTAGTGTACATGTAGTTTAGGCTAAATATCTAATCGATATTTGGTATCATACTCTTTTCTATCGTTCAACAACTTGTATACTTAATGTTAATTATTAACAAAAAATATCGTATTTTAAATCATATACTACATGTAGTAGATCATGACATTCAAGGATGTGTCTGAAATTTTATTTCTCAAAGATCTTTAAAAAATATCAAAAATTATCAATGTATCAAAGAACGAATACAAGTTCATGAATGCTTTATTTAAATCTGGCAATG